TGTAGTGAAGGAGAACACAGGTGAGGACAACCGAATTGTATTTAACGAAAATTACAGAGTTACTCAGTAAAATAGGAAAACCATATCGTAAACGGTTAATTTGCAAATCTTCAATCCATCATCAATCCATTGTCTGACATTTCACTCACTGTTCATGCGTTTCATACAAATTCCATTGTGTGTTCCCACTCTTCCTTTCTTCTTGATCTTCCCCCATCATCTGCTGCCAGACATTACGTTTTCACTCGCGTCATATACTACTACTTATAAGTAGCGCGCACCACAATACTACTTGCTGTTATTCAACTCAAAGCAATCTTTATTTCTAGCTCTCATCTCTCTCTCTCTTCCTCACTTGCTCCTGCTCTATACTCTACTCTACTCTGCTCTTTTTTCTTGTTACATATATATTTCATACATGATTAATAATAATAATAATAGTTTTCAGTGAAATAACTTGACATTGTGATGAAAACACCTGTTTTCTGCTGCTGTTGTTGTCGTTGTTCGTTTGTTTGTTTTTCTTCTCAACTATAATTTACTTTCATTTTTTGCCTTCTAGGGGTAAATAAAAAAAAATAAAATAAAAGAGATTTTGATAAATAAACAATGATATTCTCTTATTTATTTATTTACCTATTTACTAATCACAAAAGTCTATAAATCATTTTTATCCCATGGGATATTTTAACGGGATATATTAACGTTAGTTTGATTCATAAGTGATTGCTGGTACCATAGTAATCAGTTATATATACATATATGTATATATATGTATTAGATAAAGCAATACATGTGTATACCTTGTATTTTCTCAAAGTTACATCAATCGTAGAGTTTTGTGTTGTCGTCGTTGTTACTTGTTTTTCCCCAAAATCAAAGAACAAAAAAACATACATGCAACAACCCCTCCTAACACACACACATACATACACACAAATATGTGGTGTAGGAGTTAAATCTATTGTGTGATTGATTATTATTATTATTATTTTTAAAACAAAATCTTTTCTGTATTCAGTTCTTTCTAAAATTAATAATATCAGTCAGTGTACGTAGAAAAAACAATTCGTCATATTAACAATCATTACATGTATATATCTATCTATATATATATATATATATATTACTTACTTACGCCTGTTACTCCCAATGGAGCATAGGCCGCCAACCAGTTTTCTCCAACCAACTCTGTCCTGGGCTTCCTTTCCTAGTTCTGTCCAATGTTTGTTCATTCTTCTCATATCTTTCTCTATTTCTCGGCAAAATGTGTTCCTTGGCCTTCCTCTTTTCCTTTTGCCTTCAGGGTTCCAATTGAGGGCTTGTCTTGTGACGCAGTTGGGTGCTTTTCTCAGTGTGTTTCCTATCTACTTCCACCGCATCTTCCTGATTTCCTCCTCCACTGGAATCTGGTTTGTTCTCTCCCACAGTACGTTGTTGCTGATGATGTCTGGCCAACGAATACGAAGTATTTTGCGTAGACAACTGTTAATAAATACTTGTATCCTCTGGGTGACGGCTTTCGTAGTTCTCCAAGTTTCCTCTCCATACAGTAGAACTGTCTTGACATTTGTATTGAAAATCCTGATTTTGGTTTTGGTTGAAAGTTGTTTGGAGTTCCAGATATTTTTCAACTGTAGAAATGCATCCCTTGCTTTGCCAATCCGCGCCCTCACATCTGCATCCGATCCACCTTTCTCGTCGATGAAAGAGAAAGGGTGAGAGTTAGCAACCTTGCCTGATACCGGTCTTTACCTGGAAAGAGTCTGTTAGCTGTCCTTCATGTACGATTTTGCAGTTGAATCCATCATATATATATATATATATATATACATATTGTTTGTTAGAGGTTCGAAAGAGTGATAAGTTTTTCTATTGACTATCGTATATCTACGTATGATATATACACATATATCTCAGTATATCGTAATATCAATGATCGCCTATGTATTCACTGCCTTAAAATTACAATATAAGTTGGTGGTGGCCAATGTATCACTAGTCTCGTGACGGTCAATATCCAACGTGTTCCTAGACTTCGTAATTTGCTCGTCCAGACAATCGTTACTAAGTAGCGCCTGACTATTTATAAATTAAAAGGTAAACACGAATTGTTGAATATGTTTATTTCGGCACACCACAAACACACAGAGCAGGGGTAAGCATACTAGCGAGCAAATTGGCGAATGAAGTGAAGTGGAGTGGAGAAGACTAGTGAGCCAATACCAAGATGCAAAGCATGACTAAGAATTTATAGTCAGGCAAAGTATAAGGCGGACATGTAACAAGCGAGAAAGGCGTGCGCGCATACGAATGAAAGCGGCAAATGATTGACAAGGTCAAAAGACAGATGGGACTAGTCATATGAGCTGAACATTGAATGACTCACTTCATACTGAGCATTCATTCACTTAAGGTTGAAAATATTCCTTACTCATATGTACTAACTAATATAAAAACATAAATCAGTCGTTTTTTTTATCGACTACCTGCAATCACCTAACGAAAAACTTTTCATTTATCTTCAACACCACGTAATGCTGGTACTGACCTCTTTTAACCAGTAAATCAGATGACACGGAAAATAAATTTACACGATTCTTGAACATACTGTGGTGCGAGCTACTTATAAGTAGTATATGAGGTGAGCGTCAACGTAATGTCTGGCAGCAGAACATGGGGGAAGATCAAGAAAGGAGGAAGAGTTAGAACACAATGGAATTTGTATGAAACGCATGAATAGTGACAATGGATTGATGTTTTGCAACAGGAACAGTCCAGTTCGATATGATGAACTGATATTTTGCAAATTAAAGATTTACGATATGGTTTTCCGATTTTACTGAGTAACTCTGTATATATATATATATATATATATATATATATATATATATATATATATGTACGGGATAAATACAACAGAATATCATAGGTCAACTGATTAAGGTAGTTTACTGCATTAAACTTCGATTAAAAGGCTTATTAGTTTGATAATAAAGTTAATGTGTCTTATCCTACACTACCAATATAAAGGTGCATTTACCACTCATATACTGAAGTGTGTTATTACGAACCTGCAACTTTGGAAAATCTATCAAAGTCAATTATTGTATACCGTTTATATAAATTAAAAAATAATTATATCATAAATTAAATGTGTAGGCAAAATAACTTTTACAGACACTATTTTCTTTAAACCAAAAAATGCACTAATCAATAAGCCTACATTATCTTTTTGTCAATAACTTTAGTATGTCATTCATTCTTCAAAAGGAAGTTATGAAGTTTGTCACTGTATAGGAAAGTTATTGTTTATTTTACTGGTGTTTTTTTATCTTCTATGTCAACATGAATGGATATTGTAACTTTATCAACTCTCGCATAAATTATTTAGCTTCCTAAAGAAATTGATAGATTCAGTCGTGAACTGTTTTCTGAAACAATTTTAACACTTATGAAATCTCATTACGTGGTTGTGAAGATTGTTAAGTTATACATTTTTGAAACCATGAATCGATCAATGTTAGACCACCAACATTAGAAACCTGGAAGCACTGGACGGCCGTTTCGTCCTGGTATGGGACTCCTCAGAAGTGCGCACCCGCACCCCGCAGGATTCGAACCCAGGACCCTCGGTATGTGCTCGAACGTCTAACCACCAGACCACTGAGGCGGTATCTAACGGTGTTAATGTCTAACTCGATCAATTCAAAGGTCCTGGGTTCGAATCCTGTGGGGTGCAAGAGTGGTGGATGCTCACTGCCACTGATGAGTCCCATACCAGGACGAAACGGCCGTCCAGTGCTTCCAGGTTTCTAATGGTGGCCTAACATTGATCGATTCATGGTTTCAAAAATGCGTAACTTATGAAATCATACGGATGACATCACTAGGAAATAATTTATAACAAATTTTTTCTTAATATGGTATTCCAGCACGGTTCGCATTCATGCCCGGGCTAGGTAAAGTAAACCTTTCCAAGGATGAAACGTTTATCCAGTAAAATTGCATTGCTCAGTATATTAAATTAATTGAAATTAGAAATCAGCTCAATGGTGTGAAAATGAAATATATGTCATAAAGATATGACTAATAATTTCCTTTCTACTTTTAAACTGTTTTACTCGTACATTGAAACATTGTAAGTGTATTAATAACATGAATATAGATAACACAATTGAATTTGTGACCTCAGTGTTTGGTGAGTTTGCGTTTAACAGGAAGTTAGGTACGTTCTGTGATGAGGGAGTGTGCGGAGCAACACGTGTGAGATAATCTGGAAGACGAAAGAACAAGAGAAAAGATGATATGCTTGAATGCTATTACGAGTTCACCTTACTCGGTAAACGGAACGAAAGCAATGACTCAGTGATACGATAGGCTATTCTAATCTGTTTGTCTCTGGCCCGGCTAAATAGATCAAGAAGTTTTGGTAAGGCGTAGAAAGTGTATCCTATAAGCACTTAGAAAATACGATGCTGACAAGTACACAAATCGAGCTTATTTATACATGATTGTAAAGTCCTCGGAAGAGCCACAAAACAGCTAACTAAAATAATCCATCAACCAATGACAGCCAAGGATTTTCCGAGGTGGAAATGTGATCTGTAGGTCAACTGGCGCGAAAACATGGACATTCAAAATTTCGGAATAAAATTACAAAGTTAGGATCTTTTCAAGTGAGTTCTAGGGATCTAATGTCCCCAACAAAAGGTGAGTTAACGACTCAGCAAGCTTCTAGAATGTACTTAATGCATTGAGACAGAGATCAGAAATAACGCAATCATGAGATCAAGTCAGACTGATAATCGGAACTGGAAGTGAGTAGAATAAAGTTTCGAATGCGTTAAATCAAATAAACTTTTACATAAAGCAATAAATCACCACAAACAATTTCATTACATAATAATTTTCTCTATATAGATTTCAATGCAACAAGTTGATTTCATGAATTTTATTGTTTTTATCGTTTCACCTTTTTTTGTGTTGTTTGTTTATAGTACTTGGTGAAAACATGTCGGATCAATCACAGGAATCTGATAGTAATCGGACAAATGAACAACGTGATTGATTGACTGATTGCTTTTCTTTTGACACGTGACAATTTCTTTGTATAGAGAATTTTGTTGTACAATCAATTAAAAAATTGCTTCCTTTCCCTACTTATGCCTTTTACTTCCAGTCTAGTATAGGCCGTCGACTAGCATTCTTCAACCTACTCTATCCCAAGCTTTCTTTTCCAGTTCTGTCTAACTACTGGTCATTCTTTTCTTGTCTGTCTCTGATTCCCAGCTTAATTTGTCCCTTGGTCTTCCTTTTTTCGGTGACCTTGAGAATTCCAGGTAAAGGCTTGTATTTTGACACTGTTTGGTGCTTTCTTCAATGTGTGTCCTATCCACTTCCAACGTTTCTTCCTCCATTGGAATCTGGTTTGTTGTCTCCCACAGTAGGTTTTTGCTGATGGTATCGGGCGAACGTAGTACGTACGCACATTAGTTGAAGTTGTCATACCACATTATCACAGAGATTATTTGTCAACTCTAATACCATAGTAGAAGCATTAGCGGTATTGGAAAAGAAATGATTCAAGAAGTATAATCCAGCGAAGTAGATTTAAGAAGAGAAAATAATGGTGATGAGGAATCTGAATTAGAATTCGGCAGAACCCAAAGAGTGGCTGCATCTGAGCCACGTCGTTCAAGGTCTCTAATCATCGGTTACTTTCGTCTCGCAGACCCCAACCAGGTAGTCTACACCTGCTACCATGACTGAGTCTAGTTGTCACGGGTTTGTGCTATGTTTTTGGTTTGTTTGCCCCTACATCACAAAACATTGCTCATTGATGAACACCACAGTCTCAAGTAGAATAACGAATACATATTTGTGAAACAGTATGATTTATTCAGGGCTCTTTGCCCACAGGGACCATGGATGTGCTCTGGTGATAAGTCCCATACATGGCTGTCCAGTGCTTCCAGCTTTCTAATGATTGTCCATTACTAAACGTGTCATAGTGTCGCTTAAATCCGAAGTAAAAACTTAAAGTTGGTTTCTTTATCGACTGTTTGCGGTTCGTTAACTTCACCTGAATCGCTTCTCGGGTTACTACCGTCTCCGTGCCCGGAGAAGGGAGGAGCTTTGAGCATGAAGTTAGCGACCTCTTCCCGTAGAAAGCCAACTCTCTAAAATAAACGCCAACTAGAAGACAGAGTATGTATTAAAGTAACAAACGTGTCACCATCTTTAATGAAATGTCTAGTTGCTAAATTTATTTGTCAAGGTTTATTTATCAAGGTTGTTTAGTGTGAAGATAATCTCAATCACATTATAATCAATAAGTACAAAAAAGAGTCTTTTCAGAGAGAGGTTTTGACAAGTTGAGTCCTGAGGAAAACAAGCATATATGAAGACAAGCTGCTAACAAATAAACACTATTTACAAGTGACCTTAGGATACTAATGGCATCTAGTGAAATTACTCAAATTAGCAATGAATTCGACGTCGAATCTGGCAGAAGAAGTGAAGTTTCCAGATTCTTCAAAGACATCTCTGTTCAGATGGCTCACAGAAACCTCCACAGGCTCATAAGAAACCCAAGTGCTCCCATCCTATCACAGCCCGATGGAATTTCTAGAACGTTCGTGTGGCACAAGGTTTTCGGGTGGTGACGTAACACTGCTGATTGAATACCGGATGATTTTATCTTCTGTGTTTGCTTTAAACAAAATAAATTTAAATACCATAAGTGCGTAAAAATTTCTATTTCTTCTAGTTTATGTTTTTCGCCGTGTGAGCGATTCTGCATTCGACACTCTAGTAGCAGACACAAAACATTTGAAAATCACTAGTTTGGATGAAGTATTTTTAAACGTTTTCTTGATTTTTCTTAGAGAATGTTTCATCTAATTAAAAATGCTTTTTTACATTATAAATCGGTTAGCACTTTTGATTAGCACAAAACGGTATTTGTTTAAATCAGCTCTTACTCCTTTTTTTGAAATTGTTAATTTAATTTTCACTTCCACTTCGTGACATTTTTGCTTGTGTTAATACAAATTTTGGTGATAATAATAATAATAATTCAGTACTTTATCTCTTGTAATCTTGTAGAGTTAATCAGATTGTTAGTTATTATTGAAATCATCAATCAGTCATTGTTAGTTCAGCATTAGAAAGAATGAAAACACTGGACTGTTGTTTAATCCTAGTATGGGATTCATCAACAGTGCCCATCTATGACTCTCGGCTATTCGTATGAACCAAACCCAGCAACTTCAGTTCTGTGTATGAACCCAACCTCTTAACAACTGAGAACGTTTCTCCGAGTTCTAAGTGAGAAGTCGTAGCTGATGAAGTTCAACTCTGTCCGGATGTGAATCAGTATTCACCGTCCAAATTATCGAAGTTAGACGTTAACACCGTTGGATACTGGCTCAGTTGACTGGAGGTTAGGCGTTCGCGCAAAGGAGACTGAAAGTCTCAGCTTCAATTGCTGCGAGTAACGAGAGTTGTGGATGCTTACTGCTGATATGTCCCATACTGGGAATAATCGGCTATCTTCTGCTTCCAAGTTTTTCATAGTTTTCCGAAGTATTTCAATAATCTCCACCAGCTTGTAGTAAAAATGAAAACTTGTTTGATTTTTTCTCATCTCAACGAAAAAAAAGACCATAGTGTTTCTTTTTTTCTTTTAATTTCATTATAATAAAACAAAATTTGAACTTTATTCCTTTTCTTATAGACAACATTAATTGTAGTGGAAAATGGATAGTAGAAAAAGAAGGGAATCGTAAATGAACAAGATAAATTTTTCATATTTTTTCTCTACTAACACATCAATCAGGTTAACATGAATTACTACGTACATTTGTGTGTGTGTGTGAGTGTGTGCGAGTCTGTTTGTGTATGCGTCCTGGCATAATTATTATTATTATTATTACTATTAATTAGATTTGTACAGTAGTAATCAACCAGTTTGTGTTTATCAAATTACTGACATGGAATCAGTTATTTGAAGTCATTTTAATTAACCTGTTATTCATGTTTGACTTTTTTTTTAGGTTCTATTTACAAAAAATGATCTAGTGGTTTGTTTATAAAAAGAATTGTTCAATGACAGTCTTTTTTATTTGGAAAAGCCGAAATTTCAAATCTAACGGTACAATTAGGTTTTTTGTTATGATTTTTTATGAGGTAAGATTTCAGTTAATCATGTTGGGATTGTGAACGTTTGATAATATAAGTACGATGTTAAATTTGAGTTGAAGTAATTTGATTAGAGAGAGAGTTTTCATTACAGATATGGGTCAGGTGTAGGACTGATAAAAAAGCTAGAAATCATTTACTGGTCGACCTGTTCTAATTTGAAAAGTTTGGAATTATTAAATTGTAACAGTTGTCTAGTGATTCGGCCGATGGAAGATTAGAATGAAAACTTTCATCAAATTGATGGTTAGAGACCTTGAATGATATGGCTAAAAACGGTTTGCAGTGGGGCAGGTGGATCCATTCTCTGTGTTCTCTCAAATTCTAATGCTCTGAATTCTTCATGACCGTTTTTTTCTTTCAAATGATATATTCGATCATTATAGTGTTCGATTACTGCCAATACTTCTACTACTACTACTATATCGTCTCCGTGCTAAAGCGGTACGGCAACTTGAACTCATATACGTACATAAGTACGAAGTTCTACGTTGTAACTGATCGACTGACTGAATGAAATTATAGAAGTTGGGAATTTCAGATAAATAACTTTAGTTGTAGTTGCTTATATAATTTTTCGTCCTTGAGTAAAAGTATACAAATCTACTTCATAATCATACGCAATTGTTAAGTTCCAAGTAGGATCTCAGTATACAACATAGAAGTAATGCTAATTGTGAGTAATATATTCGATAAGTACTTGTTTGACACGTAGGATCGAGGAAAAAGTGCTTAGCATATTTTTGAAATTTTTTTTCGCCATTTAACTAAATATATCGTTATACTACCTTAAAATGTTGATTTTGATAGTACGTGTGAAATGACGATTAATTTACTCGTTATTTTTCAATATTTACAGACGCTTATAAAAATTAATACAATTTTATAAATCAAGTCACAAGTACTTCATAATTTCACTGCAACAAAAAAATGTTTTTATCATTCAGTCATGGTACAAAATGTAATAAATAGTTTATTAAAAATATTTTAAAAATTCTAATTTTGTAAAATTTATTCAACATTTTCCTCAATTCCTATTGGTTCATTTATTTAACCAATCAAAATAATCTATGATAAAAATGCTGTTAAATCATAAATTTTCTGAAAATTTACTTTCATTCGTAATTTTTATTTATTAATTGTCATTACAATCTTATTCTACACTTCATCAAAGTACTTCATAAGTAAGTTATTATCGTGTTGCTTATTTTTCTGATTGATCTTTTTCGCACAGTGAAACTATAAATTTAATTTAATATTCATTTTCAATTAGAGTTATGGGGATTAGTGTTATTTTACACATTTGAAATCATCAATTAATCATTGTTAGACCAACATTAGATACCTGGATGCACTGAAAGACGGCCGTTTAGTCCTGATATGGGACCCACCATCACCGTTGAATTCCGGCCCAGTGGTCCAGATTTTAAGCTGATGATGATTCAGTCTCATACTAGAACGAAAAGGCCATTTAATGCTTCGAGGTTTCTAATGGTGGTCTAACAATGACTGGTTGATGATTTAAAATGTGTAGTATTCATTTAGTAATCGAAAATTTTCAAAGTACTTGAACATGATTTAAGAATAAAAATTGGTTTTCTTTTTAAAGTGAAATGCTCATGTCAATAAAAGCCTAATTTTTTTAAAAAAATATGCCACATTGTGTATTTAAGAGTAGAAAACTCTGTAATCAAAATCTTATTCTAAATACCTGTAAATTTAAAACAATTGATTTTTTTGGTGACATTGGGGAATTTATCCATAAAATTTGTGAAATATATTAGACTGTAAGTCTGACTGAATTTCCTAGTTGAAAATAATGATTTTGTATTTAAATGAGAAACATGGTAATATGTTCAGTGAAAT